ACTGAGCATTATAGGAAGTATATACTGGATTGACCTCAATGTTCAGCAAAGGCTGGTGGGTAACAGTATGCTCTGAAATCAGTCTTTATACATCTCTTTGGGAAAGCATTGTTTTCCTCTAGGCAAATTCAGTACTACAGAGTTGCTTTCTGGTTACTAATCCAACCATTTGAGGTGATCGCATTTCATTTGCATTTGGTGGGATTGTTAGGAGGTTTCAATTACTGCTATAAAATAACCTTGTGTGTGTAAACATAGACAGGAATGCAGCGTGTACCTGCTAATCAGCAATATAAGCTTTGGTGCTGAAAAATTCCTTGCAAATGCTACCAAAAATACACCCTTAAGATCATGGCAAGGATAGCAGCCCAAGGTCACCTTGAACTGTAAGTAGAGTCTTGGATGCATTTGAAACGAGAACGCCGTGTGCTGGGGCTGGCTCTCAGATCAGTTCTGCTTTTGACATTCCCAAATTGTCATGAGGAATTTTTAAAGTCTAATATTAGTAACTGAATGCCCCAGAGTCAGGTGCCATCCTTAACTGTGAACCTTCCCTGACAATATATAGCCCTGAAAAAAAAATACTTGCTCTTTAATTCAGTGATGCTAATATACTGCATCCTGAAAATGGTAGATAGGAGACCTTAAGAGGAGATTTTGAAACATGGAGTAGCTCTTGTGTCAGTATTTAAATAGTAACAGGTAACATGATGGGGATCTTGTGTGGTTAAATGTGGCAGCACCTGCTGTGATTAATCGGGCTGTTACCTGAGAAAAATAGTGCAAGAATAGCTGTATGTAGGGATGGAATGATGGAAGAGTCTATTTCTGGCCTGTGTCAGCTCTACTTCTGTTCATTCATAAATCCATTTTGCTCCGTTTTCCACATTAATTTTAAAAACAAAAATGTGGTACAAAAATTCATAATGAAATGTGCATTTCAATCTACATTTTAAAATGTTATTTTCTAACCAAGCTAACATTTCTAAAATTAGTCTCTCTCAAGCTATGCTCCCCCCCCCCCCATGCATATTTTGGTATAGGGCTTTTTGAGCTAAAAAAATGCATTGCAAAATTCAGAGAAGTGCAAAATTCAAGGAATGCCTGTGTTATGACCCACACTTATCTGAGTCTCCCCACCCCTGTTCCAACAGTACAGCCAGCCCTGCCATCCTGGGATTGGACATTTTTTTAGAGGATTGGGCAAATTCATGGAGGATGTCAAGCAGCGGTCAAAGGATGATGATGATGATGATGATGATGATGACAGCTAGGATCTGCCTCCACAGTAAGAGGCAGTAATGTTTCTGTATACCCATTGCTAGAGTAATATTTCTGAAGTAATGCTTCTGAATAAACAGTTGCTGGGGATCACAGGTGGGCAGAGTGCTGTTGTGCTGGTGTCCTGCTTGCAGGCTTTCCTCAGGTATCTGGTTGGCCACTGTGAGGCTGGACTAGATGGGCCTGATCCAGGGCTCTGTGTAAAAGAACTGTCCTTCCAGATTCAGGTTTATGTACAGCTGCTCAAAATCGAAGCAAGCTCCTCTATCTCAAATCAAATCAAAAATTGAGAGAAGGCACAAATAAATCCTCTGTAATGGTTCTGTCAACCAGAAGGTTTTAGAGAAAGGCAAGAGTACATTCCATATCTAATGACCCCCCTCACAGGAAACCCTCCTTCTGCCAGACAACTTCTTTCTGTAAATGAGGAAGCTCTTGGCATATGTTCCAGTGTCAATTCAATTTCCCCACTCCCCACAGCAGCAGTAACAACATTTCCTGGATCATAATGGAACCCAGATTCCATCTTCCACCCATGCCCTCCCAGTTTAATTACATTGATAGTGAGATAGTGCAGCAGTAAGTAGATTGGTTTAAAAAAGGGGGGAGAGAGCCACCCTTAAATGAAAGGGAACTGCAAAGACATATAAGAGAATATTCTCAACCAAATTGCTATTCTTAGGCTAGGTTCCTTGTTGCTAATGTTTGTCTTGGAGAATGTTTTATGCATCAATATTGCCTTGGAATTTCCAGCAGGAAGAAAACATTAAATGTACCACCGTGCAATAGAGTAGATTTAATCCAATGGATAAAATAAAGGTAAAGGATCCCTGGATGGTTAAGTCCAGTCAAAGGCGACTATGGGGTGTGGCGCTCATCTCACTTCAGGCCAAGGGAGCTGGCGTTTGTCCACAGACAGCTTTCTGGGTCATGTGGCCAGCATGACTAAACCACTTCTGATGCAACGGACCACTGTGACGAGTGCCAGAGTGCATGGAAATGCCGTTTACCTTCCTGCCACAGTGGTACCTATTTATCTTCTTGCACTGGCATGCTTTCGAACTGCTAGGTTGGCAGAAGCTGGGACAGAGCAACGGAAGCTCACTCCGTTGTGATTATTCAAAGTGCTGACCTTCCAATCAGCAAACCCAAGAGGCTCAGTGATTTAGACCATGGTGCCACCCATGTTCCCAATGGATAGCACACAGCTCTATCCTTTGGTATATAACCAGCAACTGTAGCATGATGGCCTTTTGTTTATGAACGGTAAGGAATGAAGTGTTGATATTTTGTCACTGGGAGCTAATACCTGGCAAGGAGTGTTTATTTCCAGGTATGTCTGTTCGTGGACTAAAATAGTCTGGTATCAGTAACTCATGCTCTGGTGACCTTGTCTGGACTACTGCAATACTACTGTGTGGGACTGCCCTTGAAAATAGTCCAGAAGCCAAAGCTAGCGCAGAATATGGCTACTAGGTTATTAATGGGGGCAACAAGACGGGAGAATGTAACACCAATTGTAGAATCACTACGCTGCCTGCCTGTGTGTTACTGGTAGGGGCGTAGGAGAAACTTGATTTTGTTTGCATCTTAATGAGAAATTATGCAATTCACACTTCCCCAACCAATATGCAAGCTGCCACACAGGTTTCCTTTGAAATTAGCACGTCTCTGAATTTTGCAATGCAGATCACCAACGAAACAACATGTATAAAAATGCACCATATTAGGGGAAGGTGCTTGCAAAAAAAAGGTGTATATTAGTCAAAACTGCATACACACAAAAAATTGATCAGGAGAAAATTGCACTAAAATTCTTATGAATGTTCGTGACAATTTTTTTTAATGCACATTACTGTGGAAATGTGGTCAACTGCACTGAAGGATGGAAAAATGAGAAACTCACAGAACCAAAATTAACAATCCTCCCTAGCTATAGGCTGCTGAGAACAGTTCATAAAGCCCTAAGCATTTCAGGGCTGAAATACATGCAGCAGTACCTCTTTCAATACCAGCCTACCTGAAGATTGGTGGGGGTTCTCTGCTCATAATACCTGAGAAGATACATAGGCAGAGGACACGCAGAATTGCACCCTCCACAGGCTCCTGTCTCCTGCCTTGCAGAGATTTAGACATGAACTGAAGACCATTTTGCTCACCCAGAGCTTCCCCAACACCAAATTGTAGATCTGTGTTTAATGATTGTTACTTTGTAAATCCTTCAGGTTTGTTCAATGTTTTCTTTACTTGAGGCATGCTACTGTTTCTCTTGCGTTGCACATTGCCCTGAGCTTCTTTGGCGGAAGAGTGATTTATAAATATGGCAGGTAAATAAATATAGTTATACAATGTACCTGCAGGGTGGTGATGGAGACCTGGTGTTCTGCTGATGTCTACGTGTGGCAAGGGAGAAAGAAACCCCTTTGTTTTAGCACCTGGGCAGGCAAACTAAGGCCCGGGGGCCGGATCTGGCCCAATCGCCTTCTAAAGTAGAATGTGTCCTTTTATTTAAAATGAATCTCTGGGTTATTTGTGGGGCCTGCTTGGTATTTTTACATGAGTGGAATGTGTGCTTTTATTTAAAATGCATCTCTGGGTTATTTGTGGGGCATAGGAATTCGTTCATTCCCCCCCCCTTCAAAATATAGTCCGCCCCCCCAAGGTCTGAGGGACAGTGTGTCACGGTCCGGTCTACGGGTGATCAAAGTCCCGGCTGAGGACGTCGTGACCGGGGGCAAGATGGTGGGGTGGGAGAAGAAACGAAAGTCCAGAAGCCGGGGGTCCAAGGGTCAGGAAGCAAGGAATCACAAAGTCAAGGGTCCGAGGATCAAGAAGCAGGGAGTCAGGAAGCCGAGGTCCGGGGATCAGGAAGAAAGATGCCAAATGCAGCAAGGCAGGGAACGTGTTGCCGTGGCAAAGAGCCGAAGGGAAATGCTGACCTTATATCCCTTCCCGGCTCTTACCACCAGGTGCAGTGAGTTACTAAGCGGCCTCACCTGTGCAGCCATGCCTTGCTTCTCCAGAACAAACTTCGGAAGGCCCCAGTCCTGCGAAGCCCTACTGGTCACAGGGCCTGGCTCCTGCACGCACTCCTGATACAGTGGACCGCCCCCCTGCTGAAAAAGTTTGCTGGCCCCTGTTTTAGCACTTACAAAGGATACATAGCTCAGTAGTAGGCCATAGAGAGGACCCAAAACTTTGGGCAACTGTTCCCCCCCCCTTGGAAAAGAGAGGAAGGGGAAAGAAAAGAAACCAGAGGGGGGAAATCTGAACCTTTCTTTGGGTGGAAAGGGTTACTGAGACAAGCAAGTGGCGAGGAGGCTCTTGTGCTCAGATCCTGCTCTCTGGTTTCTCACAGGCATCTGGTTGGCCACTGTGAGAACAGGATGCTGGACTAGGTGGACCACTGGCCTGATCCTGCAGGCTATTTTTATGTTCTTCTCTAGGGTGGCTACTTACTGAGATCTGCAGAAAATTTGCATGTGGGAATTGATACTAGAGAGATGCAAATTTCAAAAGGATCACTATATCTGAAAAAGGAATATAACACATCTCTCCATAGTGAGGAAGACTGTGACCAGGTAATCTGTGTGGGCATTCTCAATCTGTTTGTCCAGTGCTAACCAGGGTGGATTTGATTTAAATCAAATCGATTTAATTCACGATTTAAACCACTATTCAGTAAGACTTGATTTAAATCTTTACTTTTCTTTTTTTTTGTAGAAAGACTCATTCTTGCTGGTATAATGTTAATATTTGCAACCAGATGAAGTTTTAGTTTTTGGAATACTAAATTTTCAGAGTAGTATTTACTATTATATCAAAAATTACTGATTTGGATATACTATTAGAAATACAGACAGATAATTATGAAATTATTGTTTATACTTGGACAACTTTTCTGCTGTACTTTATTGGAAGGAGAAAGATAATCATTTTCTTAATAACAATTTGAACTATTTATTTAACTAAAAGAATAACATTATAGCATATGTATCCATGTTTGTTAACTGATATGGTTAAATGATTTTTTTTTCATTAAAAAACACCCTTAGACTGAGTTTTACCACACATGAAAAACTTAAATCAAATCCTTATTTCCTGATGAATATAATATAACTATATTGGACTATAATATAACTTAAATAGAAAACTATCTTTAGAAAGATTTTTCCTCCAAAAGCATTTTATTTTAAAAATCCGATTTAAATTTTTTAAAAATGATTTTTTTTAAATTAAAAAATCATTGATTTTTATCCACCCTGGTGCTAATTAATTGTTGATGAACCACTGCAAGTCTCCTCCTGCTCTTACTTCTTAGGGTTCTTTATCTTTAAACTGGACTTAGACAAAACAACCATTCAAATAGAGGGCTGCCTTCTAACAGCACATCAATCAGTCAATCAATCTAACAGCACTATCAGTCAATCTTCTCCCCCAAATGCAACAAAACCTCTACAAAAGCACATTCATTATAAACATCCATAATAAACTTGTGTTAAAACCAGCCTGGTATAGATTTTGAAGACATGCAATTGGATCTCTGGCCCACCTTAGTTTGATCTTATGACAAGGCTGTTAATATTTTAAACTTCTTGATATGGTGCCTCAGCTAGGCAAAAGCAACATTTATTTTGCTAGTGTTATTTTTGCACACCGAAACAAATGGCTGCATATATTCGGCACTTATTCTACTTGTATAACAGTGAGGACTCTCATAAATCCATTTGGATGGTTAATGAGGGAAGAGTAAACAGAACGAGACATAAATAAATATCATCTTCATTATTGGCCACAACTCAATATGGAGACATTCTCAGTGCTAAAGTATGAATAAAATCCATTAACTAGAGCTAATATAACCTTGCAAAGTATAACTTATCCACTTCTTTATGGATTCCAAATCCTTATTCTGGTTGGAGTCATACGAATATCTCTTGCTAATTTGGAATAACTTCTATGAATCAATGCCTTAACTGTTATCTAAAGAACCACATCCACTCATGCTAACCTGCCCATACTTGGAAGCTGGCAGCAGAGGTCCTCCTTAGGTGACTGCCTCTGAGAGCAATTTGATTGACAGGTGCTAGGGAAGGGCCTTTTCTGCACGGGCCCCACATCTCTGCAACACTTTGCCAGCTGTGCTCGAACATGCCCCGTGTGTTTAGAAAAGCCCTGAAGACTAGGGAAGGCAGAGAAATTGGGTTTTGTTTGTGTTTCAAGCCAAGGCTACCCAATTCATTCCAAAACCATATGTGAACCAAAATATGGCCATCCTTCGAAAGCTGTACTTCTCCAAATGTTGCAATGCAGTTCTTCAGCCAAGTCATGTTTACAAAAGTGCATATACTGGTGTAAATTGTGCAGAACAAAGCTCTTTTTTTTTAGTGAACATAATATACACACATGCATTACATTTTGGAAAATTGCAAACTAAAATGTGCATATTTAGAGAAATTCACACTGAAATGCTGAGGAATTTTCATGAGGACTTTTAAAAAAAATGCAAACTGATGCGGAAATGATGTGGAACACTGAGGTTAAGCCTGGCAAAATAAGAAACCAAGAGAAGCTGAAACAAACAGATTTGGCAATCCCTACTGAAGAGCCCCTTGCATTTTTTCTTGTGTGGTGTTCCGATTTCATTTTGGGTGTTGTTATGTATTTATTGGTATGGGTGGTGGGGGAGAGAGATAGGATGTTTGTGGTTTATTTTTACTAGCTATTAAGTGTTTTATTGTTTTACTGTAATGGTAAAGTGTGGGGAGATGGCAGTGGTGGCTATAAGCTGCAGGGGAGGAGATAAGCAAAAACGGCCTCCCCCCTCCAATTCCAGCAAAGGAGTAAAGTCTGGCGGGGGGTATGATGTTAACATATGAGTGTGCTGGAGGTGAAATAGTTAAACAGGTTACCCAATCAGAACCCAGGGGGAGTGGCGTCAGAGGGACTATAAAACCAGCTGGGGGGGGCAAGGGTGGAGTTCATTGGGAGTTGGGTGGTTGGTTGGAGTGGGAGTGAATTGGGATAGAGTCTGTGGGTAGGTTGAGTTAGTGTAGCAAAATAAGCTGAGTCAGGAACAGTTAGGAGCTAGGAAGACAAGTAGATATCTGAGAGGTGGTTTAGCTAGTGAGAGCAGGAAGCGGAAGTTATAGGTCTGGATGGGCATCCCATGATTGTAATTGACCGATACTGTTTATGAAACCACACACTTGTTAAACTGCAATAAATAAACAGAAGCTTATGTTCCGATTTAACCCTGATTGGACTCAGTATTGTACCAGGTAGGGGCTGGGTGGTGGCAGCGAGAAATAAAGTGGTGGCACTGGGATCACTAGATGGTGAAACATCCGGGGACCCTGTGTGATCGCCACAGTGGGGACCCACGGTTTCTGGCAAGGCAAAACATTTAGGTGATTTTTTTCATTATGGAGATCCAAGGGTGGTTGGGGAGGAGGAGGCATGGCTCAGATCTTATTGTAACATCAGTGATAATGGATTGTATTCAATGTAATGTTACATACATGGTTCTGTCAATGCAAGGATTTCTCTTTGCTCAATGGCATGTTCTTCCCCTCCGTCCCCCACTGCACCCCATAAATCTGTTCAGGGCTTCCCCCCAACCCTCTGGAGCAGTTCTGGGGACAGTGCAATGAAAGGACAATGTGGGGAAGGACAGGGGGGAGGGGAATCTCACAGAGCTAGCCAAGGACGTAGCTAAACATGTTTGACAACACTCAAATGATCATGCGGTGACCATTTGGAGGATATCTGTATGCTGTTTGGAATATTCAGAAAACATCCAGGGGGTGTGTGTGTGTTCATATCCAAATAGCAAAATTCACAAAGGTCAGTATTTGGGAGCAGATTTGCTTCATGTCTACAACGATACAGGTATTTTAAAAAGCACTGCGTTCTCAATGAAAAAAAACTGAAAAGCAAGGTGAATAATCCATGCTAACTTTAATTGCCGTGGCAAAGCACCTCTAAGGAAGCCTCCGCTTGAAAATCCACATGAAAAGAAGAGGCATTTAAGGAAATAACCTGCAACCCAACTTTCATTCCAGCTAAATCCAATCCAATTGGCAAGGGCAGCCGAGGAAAGCATGACTAAGTAAAGACACAGCAAACAGTGGAGCCTATAAGCAGAAGGCAAATATAAACAAATGGGCAAGGAGGATCAGGAGTGCTGGAAAAGTAAGCAGAAACAGGAGTTAAAGGAACCATCTCAAAAGCAAACACCTAGTAGAATAAGAGGGATTATTTCAAGCTAAATAATTTGCAGGGATCTGGCAAGGATGTTGCCATCAGATGAGACAGAAGAAACTGATCCACTAAAGACATTGATAGGTGTTACAGCCTAGTAATAAGAACAAATGTTAATTAGCTTTTAATACAGAGGACCAATTCCCAATGCATTAAGAGTGCCATCGCTCTCGCTTAAGATTATTGCCTATGTGTTGTCCGGTTGAGCTGGACTACATGAGATTTATTTGCTTATTTTCCCAACGAAGAGGGCCAACCACTCAACACAAATAAAATGTATTGCCAAGTGCCTTCCATCACTATCTCTGGATCCTTCTGAAAGAGATGGAGATCTCCTCACCGCAGCTTCATATTTGGGATGTGAGTCACCACTGTTCTGATTTTCTCCATCCCTGCAATTTCCATGTTCGCAGCTTCAAGGAGCGTGACAATGGCCATTGTGGCAGCCTGCAATTATGAATCAAAGCTGCCCAGGTTTTAGGGTGGAGAGGGTTGGCCTGATGTACTTGGGGAACACATGGCTGTCAGCTTCACAACAGTAGCTATGATAACGTGGTTGGGTTTCGCACAGATTTTGTCACTCAGGGTTCAGCCCATAACTATGGAAATGCCGGGATGCAGAGTGAAGCAAAGCACACATATTTTTAGGATTAGGGTGCTCTTGCCATAGGACTGAGGAGTTTTAACCGTGTGCAAGAAGCTGGACTGCAACCTCCTAATCCAGACAGTTTGCCAGTTTCTTTAATGGTTCTGGGTGAAGAGGGTTTTCTTCAGTAATAGTAGAGTATTCCATTCTGACTCTGCCATGGGGTAGAGAGCCAGTCAGTCTCCAACCCAACTGCACAATGAGACTTGTTGATAATGTATAATATATATCGTATTGGCCTGAACATAAGTCACACTTTCTTTCCAAATTCCAACCGTGAAAAGTTAAGGTGCAGCTTAAATTTGCGACCTTACAAAAATTGGCTTTTACAGACCAACCATTTCAGTTTTAATGACAGGGTCGGGGGGGGGGGAATGGGATCTCCTCTCAATCCCCGCAGGTTCTTTTTGGATGCAAGTTCCCACAACCCCACAAACTCAGATCCCTCCCTCCCTCCATCTTCCTTATGGGCAGAGCAGGAGCCCAAAAGCCTGGTCAGGAATTCAAGAGGGAGGCTCCCAGCTTTGGGAAGCAGAATCACGGCTCTGACCCCACCTTTTGCCCAATCTCTTTCGATGGAGCTGCGCAGAGGCTCCCTACCACCGATGACTCCTTTTACGGGTGTGAGTGCCTGTGGTATTTTAAGGGAGCGGCTTATATTCGGGTGTTGTCTTTTTTTCTTTTTCCTCTTGAATTTTAAAGGTGTGGCTTATTTGAGGCTGCAGCTTATATTCGAGCCAGTACGGTATATAAATATAATTGAAGGATTTCCATAGACAACAAGAGTACATACAATGTCTCTGTTCCCAACAACATACAAATCGATATGGGTAACTTAACCCAACAACCCCTCACCCCCTCTCACACACAAACAAAACTCACTGCAATCAGCTGAATGCAACCAACCACACTCTGAGTGCTACAATCTCTCGCACCGCCCAAACAAACAAACTTGTTGATAATGTATGATGATCCAATGGTTCCCATCCCAACTATTTCAGATCAAGAGATGGCAGCTCTACCATATTAGAACTTCTGTTGGGTTGTTGTCCATGTGTGGCATATGCTGCATCTCACAAGTATTTTGGCATCTTCCCCCAGATGTTTTGTACATATAAACAGAAGGTGTGAGTTGGCTTCCAGTTGTGCCATACAGTAGGTCAGGGAGAGGGCAGGCAGCAGAAGCTGTAGATGCTTCATTACCCACTCCAGCATCAGAGCTAATTGTAAAGATGAAATCTCCAGGTTACAACCTGGCAGTCTCAAATGCTTCATAGGTCCCAACACTACTCTCAAAGCTAAAGTCTGGATAGCTGCTTCTGATCAGGGAATGTATGTGTCACCAGCAGTGTGCTAACCTGTGCACTACAGGCATGTACTGAGCTTTAGAAGTTGCATGGTAACGACTCATGGCATTAAGAATGACTTTTACAGTGAAAAATCAATTGCATTCTTTTTTTTGAAAAACTAGAGTCAGAAAAGAAGCTTTTAAGTGCCGACCACAATCAATTATGCGTTTATTTAATGTTGGGTCCATGGGGAACCTGTGTCATTGCAGATATTAGACTCCAACTCCCATGATGCCTGACCACTGGCTATGTTAGCTATGGGTTATGGGAGTTGGGAGCTCAACAGCATCTGCAAGGACCACAGGCTCCCCATCCCTGACTTAAACTTTAACAGATCTTAGAAGCATCAATTCTTAAGAACGCAAAAGCAATTACGATGAGTTCATCTGACTGCCTCAATAACACTGACTAGAGATTCCTCTCCAGCAATTCCTGAATTACTTCCACTGGATTGGTTTGCACAGGAGAATGTGATGAACAAAGAAAATGAAAGGCCCTTCCTTAGAAATAAATAAAGGAGAAAGAGAGTGTTGATCTTTCGGTCACAAGACAATGCCACCTGCTCAACACAAAGGATGACATTTATGAAGTGGCTGCAGACAATGAGTTGGGGCTGACTTGAAATGTGTGCAAATTGCAGTCCCCAAATTATTATAATCAGGCGCAGCTGTTTCACTCATAACAGAAGAGCAGAGCCGTACATCTATACTCTGCCTTTTACAGAAGATGCACTCCTTATGACAAGGACAAAGCTCAAGTGACGCAGGATGTGTGTGATGGGATCTACTGCATTTTCAAAAAATTATACAATGGGTGCAGCAGGGCACTTTGAATTTAATGGAAGTTGCAGCACCAGGAAAGCGGGTGCTTTAGTATTAGCAGCCGAGGCTGTTTCCCTAATTTAAGTCTCCCCTTCCCCCCAATAATTCTATTGGATCTGCACACTCCTTACTCTGCCTCTGAGCATTATAATAGCAGCTTTAGGAGAACAGTACTGGGAAAGGGCTGAACAATCCAGCAAAGCTGCTCTAATGAATTTCTGAGCCTTTTGCGCCCATTCTAAAGTCTCTCTTTTCTCTTTGCCGATCACTCGTAGCCGAGTAAGATTGTCTTCCACAATACACGGTTTTAACAATGAGTCCTTAAGTGACTGTGGAGGCCAATTCTGGGTCCACATGTCCTTCCACAGTGGGGACTGGTTTCCGTGCAGGAGTTGATCACGGTGTGGATTTGCCAAGTCTGCCTTCCTCTTAGCATCCTGAGTTCTCCCTTGCGTCCTGAGTTCGAATGTCTTCAAAACCCATGGTACCTTTGGTGGAGGCTGCTCTCCAACTGGAGCGCTCGCAGGCCCGTGTTGCTCAGTTGTCAGTGTTTATACTACATTTTTTAAGATTTGCCTTGAGACAGTCTTTAAACCTCTTTTGTTGACCACCAGCATTACGCTTTCCATTCTTGAGTTGGGAATAGAGTAGTTGCTTTGGAAGATGATCATAAGGCATCCGCACAACATGACCAGTCCAACGAAGCTGATGTTGAAGAATCATTGCTTCAACGCTGGTGATCTTTGCTTCTTCCGGTACACTGGTATTAATTTGCCTTCCTTCCCAAGTGATGTGTAAAAAATTTTGGAGACACCATTGATGGAATCTTTTGAGGTGTTGGAGATGGCGTTTATAAGTGGTCCATGTTTCACAAGCATACAGTAAGGTTGGTAGTAAAATAGCTTTGTAAACAAGCATTTTGGTTTCCCTGTGAATGTCCCAGTCCCCAAACACTCTGCACTTCACTTCACAAGGGTCATAGGAACATGCAAGCCCATTCACCATGACAAGGTGATGATCCAGTGAGTGGGCCATTCTAAAGTAAAACAAACAAAACTACAGTGGTGCCCCGCAAGACGAATGCCTCGCAAGACGAAAAACTCGCTAGACGAAAGGGTTTTGCGTTTTTTGAGTCGTTCCGCAAGACGAATTTCCCTATGGGCTTGCTTCGCAAGACGAAACGTTCCCCTTCCCCATGTGTACAATAAAAGTTTTACCAAGAGTAGCTTTCCTCTTTTTCTGCATGTTTACGGCAACCTTACAAATAAGCCCCAAAAAATTACTAGGCGGCAAAATAAGTAAACAAATAAACAAATTACCAGCCTGCTGGTAACTGGCAGATGAGAAACCAAGAAGCTTGTGGCCTTTCTATGCTGGGGCCAGTGGAGAGGACTTCCCTCCTCTGACAACCCAATTGTTTTCTATGCTGGGCTCAGAAAGGAGAGAGGCAATAAATACTCTGCCTTTCCTCTACCAGTCCACTCACCTGCATGTGATTCCTTGTTGCCTATAGCTACCAAGAAAGTGCTTAAGTACAAGGCTGACTTAGGCTGAGCTTTTAAATGTCCATGTATCCTTTGTGTTACAGATTAATCAACCTTGAATATTATCACGGTTACTGATTAGCACTACCATCTTCAAAAGTGCGGAGATTAATTTATGCCAAAATCCAGACAAAGTTAAGCACTTTTAAGTTCCATTTACTTCAGTTGGAGAAAGTTATGTTTGTGCTTAATTTACCCACTAAAACCAATAGGACATCGAAATGTTTGATTTTGCCTATGCTGTTCTTCTTTTATGTCTCGCTCGGATTTTGATAATGATAGTATGATTAGTGTGTGTTGAGGGGCACCAGGTGGCCCATTTTAAGTGATCTTATCAACAGCTCAATATTCCCTCCTCTGCTTGTCCAGTAAATATTAGAGAAATAAATTACAGCAGATTCTGATGAATGCAAAATGGAGTCTGGGATAACAAGGTGAAAAGAGATTTGGATGTGCGCCCCATATCACTGCTTAATGTGGATTATAAAATTTTTGCAGATATCTTGGCTAAAAGATTAAAAAAGGTGTTAGCAGAAGAAATTCATAAAGATCAAGCGGGCTTTCTCCCGGGCAGACACTTGTCTGACAATACGAGGAACATAATTAATATCTTAGAAAAATTACAAGTGAAGATTAATACTAAAGCAGTTTTGATATTTGTGGACGCGGAGAAAGCCTTTGACAATATTTCTTGGAGTTTTATGAAGGAGAATTTACAGGGGATGGGGGTTGGTCAAGGTTTTGGAAATGGTATAGGTGCAATTTATTCAGAACAGAAGGCTAAATTAATTGTGAATAACGTAGTGACGGAAGAATTTAAGATTGAGAAAGGAACACGACAAGGTTGCCCAATTTCTCCATTGCTTTTTATATCGGTCCTGGAGGTTTTGCTAAACATGATTAGAAGGGACCAGTTGGTTAAAGGTATACAAGTGGGAGCTAAACAGTACAAACTGAAAGCATTTGCAGATGATTTGGTATTGACTTTACAGGAGCCAGAATCTAGCACTAAAAGAGTACTGGAATTGATTCAAGAATTTGGTCAGGTAGCAGGTTTTAAGTTGAACAAGATGAAAACTAAGGTTTTAGAGAAAAATCTAACTGTGATCGAGAGATAAGTTTCAGAAGGAGACAGGATTAACACTGGTTAAGAAAGTGAAATATTTAGGGGTTAATATGACTGCTAAGAATGCGAATTTATTTAAGGATAATTATGAAAAATGTTGGACTGAAGTGAAAAAGGACTTAGAAATATGGTCAAATTTGAAGTTATCACTGTTAGGCCGAATTGCTGTGATAAAAATGAATGTATTGCCAAGGATGCTGTTTCTGTTTCAAACATTGCAAATTCTGGACAAAATGGACTGTTTCAAGAAGTGGCAGAGAGACATCTCTAGATTTGTCTGGCAGGGCAAGAAGTCTCGAATAAAATTTAAGATATTAACTGATGCTAAAGAAAGAGGTGGATTTGCCCTGCCAGACCTTAAACTTTATTATGAATCAGCCGCCTTTTGTTGACTGAGAGAATGGATGCTTCTTGAAAACACTGATGTGTTGGATCTGGAAGGTTTCAACAATGTATTTGGTTGGCATGTATATCTGTGGTATGATAAGGTTAAAGCACACAAAGCGTTTAAAAACCATATTGTCAGAAAAGCACTGTTTAATGTCTGGATAAGATATAAGGACTTGCTAGAAAATAAAACCCCAAGATGGCTGTCACCAATGGAAGCAAAGGCTCAGAAAAAACTCAATATGGAGGCCAAATGGCCAAAGTATTGGGAAATTCTGGAACAAGAGGGAGATAGATTAAAACTGCAGAGTTTTGAAAAATTAAAAAACAGAGTGCGAGACTGGCTCCATTATTATCAAATAATGGAGGCATGTAATTTGGACAAAAAACTAGGCTTCCAGGTGGAAAAATCAAAATTGGAAACAGAATTGTTAGACCCCAAAGTTAAGAATCTGTCAAGAATGTATAACTTGCTGTTGAAATGGAATACTCAGGATGAAACGGTGAAATATGCTATGATTAAATGGGCACAAGATGTTGGACATAACATTATGATGGCTGACTGGGAACAGTTATGGACCACAGGTATGAAGTTTACGGCATGTAATGCCTTAAAAGAGAATCTAATGAAAATGATCTACAGGTGGTACATAACACCAGTCAAGCTTGCAAAAATCTACCATTTGCCCGATAATAAATGCTGGAAATGTAATGAGACTGAAGGTACATTCTTTCACCTTTGGTGGACATGCCCAAGGATTAAGAATTTCTGGGAGATGATTTATAATGAAATGAAAAAGGTATTTAAATATACCTTTCTGAAGAAACCAGAGGCCTTTCTCCTGGGCATGGTCGGCCAATTGGTGCCAAAGAAGGATAGAACTTTCTTTATGTACGCTACAACAGCAGCAAGAATACTTCTCGCAAAGCATTGGAAGACACAAGATCTACCCCCCCAGGAAGAATGGCAGATGAAGCTGATGGACTACATGGAATTGGTGGAAATGATTGGCAGAATCCGAGACCAGGGAGAAGAGTCAGTGGAAGAAGATTGGAAAAAATTCAAAGTATATTTACAGAAATATTGCAAAATTAATGAATGTTAGAAGAATGCTGGAATGAAGTTATATGGCTTTAGCAGAAATGTTATAAAGAATTAAGTAAAAATAGATTGTTAATGGACCAAAGTGGAAAATTTAAGGTTAGATTGTGTTAAGATAAATTATAGAACAAAAATTGAGAAAGATGGAAAGGATTTGCTGAAATAGCTAATTGAACTAGAATACAAAAAAGGGAGGTGTGAGGAGGTCGATGAAACAAGTAAATGAAAGGTAAAGACACGGAAATATTGGATGTGTTTTTAAATGTGTTTTTTTTTTGTTTCGCTGTATTGTTTTTTTCTTTTTGTTTTTTTTGAGGTATTGTAAGGTATTGTTTGGTTTTGTATAACTTTCTATTGTTTCTTTCTTCTTTTTTCTGTAACTTTCAAACCCCTAATAAATATCATTTAAAAAAAAAGAAAAGAAAAGAAATTTGGATTTGGACAGGTGAATCCTACTCGGTTAAATCACATAAATGTGGTTGGTTTTGTTTTCTAGCACCAGACTGAAGTCTAGAGATATCATAGGCCCATTTTGCCTGGCTTTGCTTGGATGGATGAGGCAGTCAGTCGGTTGCTGGTCTGTATCAATGGCAGATGTATTTACTCATTAACCCATTCCATCCCCCTTCCACATTAATCTGTGACTGTTATTGTTAAAACATATCTACATGAGTTTCACATTTCAGTGCATATTTAAATAAGGATTTAAATTTATTTTCAGTCAGAATATACATACAGTGGTACCTTGGTTCTCAAATGCCTTGGTACTCAAACAACTTGGAACCCAATCACTGCAAAGTAAGTGTTCCAGTTTGCAAACATTTTTCAGAAGCCGAAAGTGCTCTGTTTTGAGTGTTATGCTTCCAATTTGAGTGCCACACTTCCGTTTTGAGTGGCACACTTCCGTTTTGAGTGTTACACTGAGGTCTGTCTGTTTTTGGTATTTATTTTGTTTTTGTGGCTTTTTTCTTTTGTTTTTGTGACTGTGTGGAACCCAGTTCAGCTACTGAAGGATTGATTGTGTGGCTGCAGTACATTGTTTATTGCTTTCATTTTATGGATCAATGGTCTTGTTAGATAGTAAAATTCATGTTAAATTGCTATTTTAGGGGTTGTTTTTAAAAGTCTGGAACGGATTAATCCATTTTGCATTACTTTCTATGGGAAAGCGCGCCTTGGTTTTGGAACGCTTTGGTTTTGGAATGGATTTCCAGAACAGATAAAGTTTGAGAACCAAGGTACCACTGTATTAATGGGTTTTGATACATTTAAACCACCAAGAATTGCACTGCAACAGTAGCAGTAGGTGCGGTAGCAATTTCTATTTAGTTAGCTAGTAAAATTTAACCACCGCTGGATCAGAAAATTTATCCACCGCTGGATCAGAAAATTTATCCACCGCTGGATCAGAAAATTTATCCACCGCTGGATAAAATCCTCAAAGCGGTTTACAAAAATGTGATTTACTTTTCATCACCAGCATCACTGCAGCTTACCCAGAGGGAGAAAGGAGCGGCAGCAACAAGATCAGTGGCAGCACTGGATTCACTCCATGGGGGAATTTACACTGCACTCACCCCTCTCACTCCCATTAAGCCGTACCAGTGCCAATGTTATTGCAACATTTGGAGAAATGTGAAATTTGATAGATAGCCAAATTACGATCCATGCGTTAGTGCAGATTAGGTCAGTCCGACACATGGGGATTTGCTGAGATCCAGTTCATCAGATATCCCGGCTTGGAGCTTAACTTTCCTTCTATGAACGAAACATCGAGTTCATATTCCTGGGAAAGGTCTCTCCATCTCTTGCTTTCTTCTGCAGTTCTCAGCACCCCCTGAAAATCTGCTAAGGGGCTTGGGGAAAACTTGGCAATGCTGTGGGATACCCTAAAATGTTACTGTTTGTTTACATACTGCCTTTTGGCTTTAAAAGAAGAAGAAGAAGAAGAAGACCACCACCAAGGTGGCTCACGAATAATCAACACACAAAATCAAGTACAAGCTATACAAATTATAAAAACTCCAAATACATTCATCTTGCTGCCAAAAAAGGCAATGAGGGCAATTGCCACAAAAATATTAGAAAGAGCAGGAGCCTCTCCCTGGGAATGATTTGGATATAATGTGTGTTTGTGGATCAGGTTAAAGAAGCAGGGAGACTTGGTGGAACCATAGCCTCTTATGTGAACAGAGGAGCAACTCAGCATCCGAGCCTGGGCTAAAAATCTCAGCAGCGGAAGCTCGCAAGGAAGTGAAATGTGCTCCCACAATCCACTCTAAATTAGTACATAAGCCTGCAATTGCTAAATGCATTTACACTGGATTTCTCTCTCCCTCTTCTCTCCAGAAGGCAAACCCTAGAATGGATTTGACTTATAAATCACAAAAGACACTTCTTTGGCAAGGATGATCATCCTCATATACAATAAATCATGAAACATCAACAGCCTCTAATGGATTTTGATTCTGTGCCACAGCCGGCCTAAGCCGGAGGCCGACGTTTTGGGATTCTGCACGCATGCCAAAACACCCTGATAAATTATTCACATTCAGCACTGTGACATCTGAAATATATATTTAAAAAGGCAGCCTGGATCAGTCTGTTGTGAGAAATAAAAACGACAATTGGGGGTTTTTTGAAAGCCACACAACATCCCTTTTCCTGACACACTGCATCAGATGTCCCTCGATCCTTGAAACGCCTTCTCAGAACTTTAAAGGAACTATCAGTTTCTTTTACAATCACCGGGCTGTGCTCATGCAGAAGCATCTATCCAGGTTTTACAAAAGCGAAGTGTAAAGTCTTCCTGCTAGAATGTGCAATTTGCATTTCACAGCATATTCCGAGACCGTCCCACTGACTAGAAGAATTGCAACTGCTTCCATGCCTATTTGTTTGATGGCCGTGGTTTTCAAAGATCCTCCCTTCAGAAAATACTACCTGTTGAGATGTCCCGTGGTGTACGCAATGAAGTTCTGCATATCGCAGATTTTGGGAGGTGTTTTGCTCCCTTCTGTTGAATGGTCACTTTAAAATGTGAAGGTTCATTACTGTTTCACAAGTTGTGTATGTCTTTAAGGGCCAGGGCCAGGGCAAATAACGAGACCCAACCTTACAGCTGTGAAACATAGCAGGTTGTGTTAATCAAGCTGTGTCAGCAATTGAGTGTAGTATATAAGGGGCAGCACCTAACTCTCTCATTACCCTGGGGGATGGGTTGGTGGTTGGGTCTGGTTTGTTGTTGATGTATTTAGTGTATAAGGAGTTTTTGTTTTTGTTATTAAAACCTTGTTTAAGTTATTTTTGAGTCCCTTTCTAATGCATGGTCTCCCCAGCAAGCTCTCTGCAGTGCTACTAAGCTGCAAATAGCCAACACCTTCATCCAAGACACTCAAGGCTTTGGGGATGGCACCACTGCCGCATCTCAACTGAGCACACAGTTGACAACATTCCTCTCTTGCTGCACCATACAAAGGAAGGTTGATAACCACCAGCCAGCTGCCACTCCAGGAAGCTTGGGGAAAGGATGTAGCTCAGTGGTGGAAGCTACAGAAGGTCCATAAGTCCAGCATCTCCATGGAGGGCTGTGGAAGGCCCTTGCCTGAAATCCGGGGAATACTGAGCTAGATGGACCAACAGTCTGACACAGTAGGAGGCAGTTTCCTAGGTTCTAACCTTTACTGATTTTCTCACTGAGAAACTCTTGGTAATTTCCCCAGGTGCCTTGGGGTTCCACAGAATTCAGCTTGGAAACCACTGCTTTACTATGAGACCCACATGGTTTCTTAACAGCTGACCATCTGAGGTTTTCCAATTTAATGCTACACGTTGTTATTATGATAGCCTTCACATTTGCACCCAGTTTCTTTGTGATTATGCTGGTGTTAATTAATTTATTTACTGTATTTGTAACCCAACCTTTTTCTCTCTCCAAGGAGCTCAAGGTGGTATATACATGGATCTCCCCCTCTTCAGTCAATCCTCACAATAACCTTGTGCTGAAAGGCAGCGACTGGCCCAAGGTCACCCTGAACCCTGGTCTCCCAGGTCCTAGTCTGGCACGCCTACAGCAACACCACACTGGCAGCTTCAAGGTCATAAACTGGTGATGGTGACTTTTGGAGCCTTAATCTTTCCAAGGTGTATCTCACCCACCTACCCCTCAAACAAAAAACCGTCGAGCCTGAAGTATCATTTTTCACATTGTATTTTCTAGATGGTACAAGTATGAAATACTGCATGGGTTGCAATAGAAGATTTAAATCAATACTTTTCTTTAAATACACAAGGGTATGAAAGGGTTAGGTCACTACTTTGGAATGCTTTAAAAGGGAAAGGGGTTGATACAACCATGCACCCTTCACAAGTGAAGTGGTGTGTGTATATATCATGTTTTGATGAGCGTAGCCTAAGGCAGCAGTGTTGCAAACTCCTCACCCATCTGTTAGGCAGCCAAGTTAGAGCAGGTTTCACCTGAAGTTACCTTTTGCTGTTGGGTCTGTATTTCCCATTGCTGACCCATTCTGACTGGCAGAAGATCTCTAGGGTATTCAACCAGAATTCTTTCATCACATTGATGCCTGAGATCCTTTGAACTGAAAATGCCAATGAATGAACTTGGAACCTTCCAGGTTCATGCAAATGTGGACTCTTATCACTAGGCTATGGACCCTCTCCCCTGACTCTTCTGCCCTCTTTTCATGACTTCCTGTCATTCAGTTCTTGACTGAAAGACAAGGCAGAACATCATCCACTTCTATCAGGTGGCTTGGTGTTCACAAAAAAAGCCCCTGCACAAACACAAAAAAGCCACCCCCCAAATTGGGCCATTTAGCAGCCTCAGAACTTATCTAAGTGGCAAATTGAGACTATCAGAGTGGAAGCTTCTAACTTTCTATACCAATTTATGGAATCCCACGAGACCCCATGCAGATACTGTGTTCTCGTTCTTCTTTAAACAAAGTCAGTCCTCTGTAATCACAAGAAAAAAAACGTTTTCAGATCTCCCCAAAATGCCTGAGACTAGAAATGAAAAAAATGGTGGTGGTCCAGGAGATTAGGATATCAACATAACCGCTAGAACACTGCATCCAGAAAATAGAGAAGCTGGAACGAACATTAGGAAGCCATCACTGTCCAGGGGTAGGGAGAGGAATGGGAAGAGTAGCACACTTGTTGAATTTAAACATAGAACTTAAGTAACTATAGTCTGCATAATGTGAATGGTATATCAATATAGTGAACTTAGCTGCTACCAAACCAACAATTCAATTGACATGGGTAATATTTTCACAGCACATGCCAGTAGAAGGAAAACAAACCTTTAGGTAATGAATTGAAATATGCTATACAGTATTGCTGTCACACCAAAATCAATACTTTTGGGGATACTAACACCAAACACTCTTCAGGAGATTTGGCAAAGCTCCAATGCATCCATTCATGATTTATGAATATATTACATATCTGGCTTTGGCTACATGAAGTGTTTGCATAATCTGTCCATGGCCCTTTTAAACTTTCCATTAAGTGCTTTGGCCCCCCACAGAAAGTCCTCTACTCTTGTGTCAGTAAAAATGCAGGAAGTGCAGAATGACAGGTCAATCTGTGTCTATGTCCCCAAATCGTCTCTCTTAAAAACAACACTGAAACATAACTCCGTAATACGAAAGCACAGAAAAGAAAAGAATCGAATGGCACACTGCATTGTGGCAATCCCTTTTGATGCTACGGGCAGTACAGCCAGGATAGTACAATAAAACACTCAAAGCCCAGTATTCCCCAGCCGTTACTCTGATCAATAGGTACATGCTGTCTCCACAAGAGATAAAGTATGTGTAGCTTAGACTTTACCTTGGCTGCTACAGAAGAATTGGGCTTTTCCAGAAGGTCCCAGAGCTTTTTCCTCTTCTCGGCGCAGCAGGTGTTATCAAATTCCTCTCCTTCCCTCTCTCGCATTGTTTCCGCTTCCCTCTTGAGCTCCTCATTCATCTGCTCCTTCTTCTGGTGGTACCTTGCCTGGCAACAGGACTCCAGATAGATCTCGTCAATCCCCCAATAGTCCAGTTCTTGGCTGAAGGACAAGGCACACATTTCCTCCATCATGTGCAGCTTGCCAGTGCGGTAAAAGTTCAAGATAGAAGTAAATGCCCCTGGGTGCCTATCAAAGAAATACTCGTTCTCCTCCAAGTTGTAGTCGTCACATATATCCATAAGGGTTTCGTGGGTGTTGCAGTCTCTGAGCTTACCCAACCTTGTCCGTGGCAACCTGTCCAGGGTTCTCCATAAAACCTCGTGGGCCAAGCCACCCACATTAAGCTTGACCCTTCTGGAGCAGGCCTTGCTCCTGACAATCTCCATGGGATCGGGAGGCAAAGAGGTAGTCGATCGAGATCCATGCTTATTCATCCCCGCAGGCATTGCTTGTCTCAGGAAGGCTGGAACAGGCTGATGAAAGCTTCCAGGGCACTCACACTTCTCAGCAGGATCTCTTCATCTGTCCTCCTCCTCCATGCCTGCAAGAGAAAAAAATCCACAGAGCTACTGGCGACTTCTGGGGATCAAATGAGAGCTTCTTCCTTTGTTTGTGGGCTGCCTGCTTGATCAATTAATCAGGCAGCTGTACAAACAGCTCCGTTAGTCTGCTTGAAGGAGGAGCGGGGACAGAAGGCTGGCTGCAAGAGCACAGGTCGCTGTTCAGTTTAATGGTGCTGAAACTGAAGAGAGCCTTAAGAGTGGTGAGCTGGGGGAAGGGTGCGGGGAGGCGATCAGGCTACCTTTTTTGCCATTGGCCCAGCAAGACTTAGAGCAGCCTTTGCCTGATCTATACATGGCAAGAACTCATTGCAATAGAAGGGAACCCTGTGCGCTGTCCACACCCAGGTGCTGAAATAGATTTCCTAACACGTTTTCCAGCCTCTGGGAAAATAACCAGTGCCATGTCACAGAATCACAGAATTGCAGAGTTGGCAGGGATCATGAGGCCCATTTAGTCCCACATCCTGAAGTGCAGGAATCTTTCAACCAGCATGGGGTTTGAACCCATAATCCTGAGATTAAGAGTATCATGTTCTACCAACTGAGCTATCAGAGTGTTTGTGTTTGGGGCAGTGGTGTTGTCAGGGCAGGCTGCTGGGACAATGCCCCACTCAGCGAGAGAGAGAGCGCATGCGGGCCCCTATGTGGCTTACAGGCAGATTACTATGCTTTTGAAGTTACCATCTAAAGAGTCTCCCACCCCCATATGTCCATTGAGTCTGGAGTCTAAAATTATCAAACTGCCCCACTGGTTTGTAGTGGGATCTGGAAGACCCCATGAACCCCAGTTGGCAGCTCATCGGAGCAGTTTCCATTGTAATTAATTTTGCTCTCCTTGAAGTAATATGTATTCTCATCACCACTACCCACCCTCCTTTTCTTCTGAACCTTTACTTAGATTTGTGGACTCCCCCCCTTTAAACTGATGCATCAAAGCATTTGGGTATGTGTTACATTGAACAATCAAGCGAAAGCTGAAATACTTGGTTACTTACGAAAAGACCTGCATGTTTTGGTTTAACGGCAATGTACATAACTGTTTGTCCCTCACCCTTTCGTACCTTCCCCGCTCTCTCTCTCTCTCACACACAAACACACAAATGCATGTCCCAGCTTGATTCTAGGCACAATGAGAATTTGGATGTCCCTAACAAAAGGACTAGTTTGTACAACCATAATAGATTTTGGATTTTGGAAATGGAGTAGGTGGGAAGTCTGATGTACAGGGTCATCCCCTACCCAAGGTACAGCCACTGGTGTTCATTTGAGTCCCACTGTTTCAACTGGTAAGGCTAACTGAGACATCCAAACAACTTTCCCTAGAGAAGTGGGTGAACCCCAGAGACATAAATGGAGTACAAACCAGGTACACACCCACCAAAAGGCCTATTTTGTGATCCAAGCTTGAACCTTTCATACAAACTCTTCTCTGAAGACACGCTACATACAGCGTTGTATATGGGGTAGGATACAAGGGGGGGCATTAAAAGTCACTATAATTCTGCAAGAAACTCTACACATCAAATTGTCATATGCCTTTCTATACTCCTTCCCCAAATCATACATACATGAAGCCTGGGGTATTTAGGAACTCCATGTTTTGAAGTTAGTTCAACCAATAGCACTTCCTTCCAGGTTTATGAGTTTTAAGACTGGGAAAATAGCATGCAATTTTTATCTACTGGTTCTCATTTTTTATTCTACATGTTCTTTAAGAGGCATTTCTCAGTTTTCTCTCTTCTGCCAAAGAGCTGAACTATGAACTTTAAAAGAGAATCATGGAGGGTTTCCCCCCCCTTTTTTTCTTTTTTAGGTATTTGGAGAAACAGAAATGCTTCCAATCTAGTCTCTTCACATGTGCTTCTAATCTGTCCCCTGTTATAAATTTAACTCAAAGACATCAGAGGCACAGGCCGGCAGTAATAGTTTACACAGCAGCACCTGATCACACACCATGCAGAAAGTCTAGCATGGAGCAAAGTCAAATGACATTCACAGTCTGATAGTCCTGTTCACATTGGGTATGGGTGAAACAAGCCATATCTATGGCTATTACTCTCTCCTCTCTCTAGTAAGCTCTGGAAAGGCAGATATGTCAGAGACTAATCTTTTGTAAATCACCACTTACAAAGGGTGGTCGGTGAAGGGGTTAGTGGGCTTGCAATGGCCCCATGCTAGAACAGATTACATCAGTGGGGGGGGTGTATTGTGGAGGGGGAGGGAACAAAAAAAATTTAAACTCTCACCTTATGAAGGTCTCTAGTGGAATGAGTGAATAGGGGAGCGGCACACCTATTTTAATTCATTTAAGTAAGATACTTGGGGAAGCAAAGTCTGCCGAGCTTAAGTTGGCTACATCTGTTGGTGAGTTTGGGGCAAATGCCTCCAGGGAAATTGGGGTCATTAACCTCAATTATTTGAAATAAGGCACTGGAGAAAGACAGGCACACTTCTTCCATTTAAGTCTACAAGAAAGAGAGACTACACCGCGGAGTGTGTACGTTGTTGATGGAGATGGTGTGGAGACAGAGAACCCGAGTTTATAACCTGAGTGGGAGCAATCATCACATTTATTTCCAGCTCTTTAAAAAAAGAAAGAAACAATGTGGGGCTTCTATGGGAGGGAGTGTGAAAGAATTTCCATCTCCTCCATTTATCCCCCCCCCAGCGATAACTAATAGGAGTCGTCATAACAACAGCCTTTAAAAAAGAGAATAATATGCAGCCAGTAGAAAGAGCTAGCAACACTGTTGCTTATACAAGATGGGAGAAATCCGGGAGAAGAAGAAGAGGAGGAGGAGGAACGGCTCCTTCTCTTTCCCCACGCCCGACCAAAATCCTACAAGGGTTTTCAGGGGGCAGGGGGGAGTCAGATCCCTCCCCCCCCCCAACACCGACGGGGACCGAACCCTCGATTTGAGGAGCAGGACCCTCGGGCAGCTCCCCAGCCCAGCCTGCGCATCCACATGCTGCCCCGGGCAGATGTGATCCTCTAGCTCCTAACTCCGCGTGGGGTTTGCCCCATTTCCCCCTCCCCCCGGGTGCTCGTCTCCCCATCCCCCAATTCCGCCACTCACTTCTCTTGCCACGATCCCGGAGAAAGGAGGCGCCGTGGGGTTCCGGGGGGTGGCGAGGGCATCGGTCGGCCAGCTGGCTCGCTCGCTCGCTACATCCTGCTCCGGGCTAGCTCAGCAGGCAGGAAGGCGTCGCGGGCATCCTCGGCGGCGGCGAGAGATGGGGAGGGGGGCGGGCAGGGGAAAAAAGAAAACCCCACTGGGGACGAAATCCCAGGATAACCCCTTCAGCAGCTGGATGGGGAGAGCGAAGGCAGCAGCTCCCCCCCCCCGGGCCAAGGCGTCTCCGTGGGTCTCAAGAGGCGCCCCCCGTCGCAACAAGCGTCTCGCAGGCCCTCGCGCCGATCCGGCTGCGCTTCTCGCCCAAGCCCCACCTTCAGCTCCGCCGACGCCGCGCGCGGGGCCCGGGCCCAGCGGGGAGGAAGCGCCCGCCGCTCGCAGTCAGGGAGCGCGGGCCTCTCTCCTTCTTCTCGCCTTTCCTTCTTTCTCCCTTTCGCTTCTTGCTAACGGAGATCAACAAGTCCAGCCTGAGCCTCCAGCTTCGCCCTGCGATTCTGGTTGCGCGGAGTTTGGCTCGAGCGGATTAGAAGTTGGAGGAGAAAGGGAGCCGGGGAAGAGGGGAAGGAGCGAGCTCCATCTAGAGGCCGGCATTGCGGAGCAGAGGCGACCCCAGAATGGCTAAAAAGAAAGAGCTGAGCAGACTTCCAGACTCCCAACCTTCCTTCTAGGTTTTTAAGCAGAGGTTGGATGGTCATCTGTCATGTAGTTGAGATTCCTGCATTGCAGGAGGTTGAGTCTAGATGACTCTGGGGGTCCCTTTCAGCTCTACCATTCTATGATTAACATAAGCTCAGGAAACGGAATCCAGTTAGTTTTGCCACGGCCTGATGGTTATCAGCTTGTGGTAAGATGGAGGCTGGCTTTTTCAGTGGTAGCACCTGTATTGTGCTGTATTAAGAAAAAGACCCATCATCATTGGCATTCAGCCGGCTCCTCAATACACGCCTATTTCAGCAAACATTTTAATGCAGCTCTTTTATTGTGAATTTTAATCATGGGTGGGCTTTAATGTTTTGATAGAATGGATTTCTTCTGTATTTTGTTTAGGAATGGATTTTATAAAGGATTTTATACTTATAAACCACTTAGCAACCATTTTGGCATGTAAGCAGTATACAAATTAATACATCTTCCCTCCCTCCAGGCTGATGATGAGTTCTGATGAGCTCAAAAGCTTGCATATTTATTTGTCTATCTTCCTTTGGGATCATGTGTGTGTGTATCCATGCATGGGCACTCACTCTCTCTCTCTCTCTCTCTCTCTCTCTCTCACACACACACACACACGTAGACCAACATTCATAATGTATATGATCCTTATGCGGCCAAACTGGTACCATCCATCCATGCCAAAGAGGGTAGGTATCAGCAGGTTTGTGGGAAGGGGAACCCCAAGGTAAACAGAAGTGCAAAAGGGGGGACTAAAGAGAGGAACCCCAAGGACTGAGCATGCTCAGGGTTCAAGGAATGCTGACTGACTGTTGGAGGGTGGCATGCAAACGCCCACCTGGCAATGGGAGAGGTGGAAGGAAGTATTCTGAAAGAGTACATGGCTGCTGCAACAGGAACACTCCACTGTGTACCATTTTTATTGTCAGTCCCACTTATTACCTTCCAGTTTCCTTTGATTTCTTCTCTAATGAACCAATAAACCTACCTGCAATTTTAATCTCACTTAAATGACTCTATTCTGGAGAGCAAAGTGCTTGGGTGCCTCTTGAATGAAAACTGTTAAAATGCCCAATATTTTGCTGTGAATCGTCCCTGCTTCAATCACACATTTTATGCCATTCCATTATTTCCTAACGGCTGGTGGGAAAGGGGAGTATTATGTGATATTTTCCACTGCTGACAGATTTATAGATGCCAAGAATCCATGTGAGAGGCAGCTTTTGCAAGAACCATTCTTCAATCAGTTTCCCCCATTTCAATCAGTTTTTCCCATATGTAAATGGAATGAAAAAGCTACATCAATTGGAATTGAATTCGCTTTTTAAACACCTCTCGTGCTTGATACCACATTAACAGCATTCATTCATGATGACACACAAACAAGGCATTTTCTAGGATTCTTGTCACAAGCAGCTTTGCATGACAAGTTGGTTCACAGTTTGGGAGTGAACCAAGTTTGGAGGAGCAAATTTTGCTCCTAACGAAGGCTTTGGCCAGAAGCGTTCTTGCCTAGCTTAGCCTGAAATATCAGTTGTGCCCAGCAATAACTGGTGGCCGCTGAGATTGATAGGGCAGCAGTTACGGAGCCCAACACTAGGTGGTGCAAGAGCCAGTGACAGACCGAGCCAACCAAGTCTAGTTTTGTCCTCCTCCCTGCTGAGTTCTACAAGGACAACACTGAGACTAAGGGCTTACCTTTCCTCTGCACACTTCCTCTCCTTCCACTTAGATCAGCTTTTGCATATCCTGCCTCAACTGAGAGGGTCTTCATCACTGTGACCTTCAGAATGAGGAACTGCCTCCCCCAGGAAATCCATCTGGATCCTGCCCTGTTTGAACTCCTCTACAATTCCCAGCACCCTTAAAAAAGAGCAGGGTTCTTTGGGGGGAAGTCACATGCTTTAAAGGTATGATAGGAATCAGCCTCTCTTTCTCTCTCAACATACAGGCCATTAAGGAATGGGAAAAAAGTGTTCCAATATAATTCATTTGAAAAAGCTTTTTACTGGTTTTGTTGCCCTTTCTAAATCAATGTCAGGATCTCTTTGGCTGTGTGGAGAACTAGCAAAGAAGCCCAGCTGAGTATTACAAACAGGAGGGGGAAGGTAAGAGAAGTTCTAATTGGAGTTGCCTTTACTAATGTTTTAGCATTTGCAGCATCATTCACACAACCTCATTGTGGTTTCCTTTCCTTGGAAAAGCTGAGAGAGGCCCCTTGTACTTAATGTCACTGATGATGATGAATCTAAAGCAATAATGGCTCATAAGTGTTGTGGAAGGCCAACAGAGGCAGCTCTGTGTGCAAATCTGAACCTCCCTGCCTCTGCTTTTGCTGTGGTGAGGATATTGGAGCTTGCAGAGTATATGAATTCTTGGAAAGAGCAAGACATTTTAAACTGTTTGTTCTGCGGCAAGGACAGGGGACCTTTTCAGCCTGGGGGCCAGATTCCCTTCTGTTCAACCTTCTGAGGGGGCCACATGGCACTAGGGAGTGGGCCTAGGGGAGGGGAGGCCCACCCTACTTTGCTGCCTAAGGCAAAGCTGGAAGGGACCACCAACCCTCCTGCCAATGAAAGACATCATAGGTGTATCCGCATCCACAGCTACTGGGTTGACAACCGCAGTGTAGACCAAGTCCACGTTTCAATTCTTTGAAGCAAACAATAGGTTACAGTGGCAGATCATTTAATTCACTTTTTGTTGTTTAGTCATGTCCGACTCTTTGTGACCCCATGGACCAGAGCACGCCAGGCACTTCTGTCTTCTACTGCCTCCCGCAGTTTGGTCAAACTCATGCTGGTAGCTTCGAGAACACTATCCAACCATCTCGTCCTCTGTCGTCCCCTTCTCCTTGTGCCCTCCATCTTTCCCAACATCAGGGTCGTTTCCAGGGAGTCGAGTCTTCTCATGAGGTGGCCAAAGTATTGGAGCCTCAGCTTCACGATCTGTCCTTCCAGTGAGCACTCAGGGCTGATTTCCGTAAGAATGGATAGGTTTGATCTTCTTGCAGTCCATGGGACTCTCAAGAGTCTCTTCCAGCATCATAATTCAAAAGCATCAAATCTTCAGCGATCAGCCTTCTTGATGGTCCAGCTCTCACTTCCATACATCACTACTGGGAAAACCATAGCTTTAACGATACGGACCTTTGTCGGCAAGGTGATGTCTCTGCTTTTTAAGATGCTGTCTAGGTTTGTCATTGCTTTTCTCCCAAGGAGCAGGAGTCTTTTAATTTTGTGACTGCTGTCATCTGCTTTAAACAAGGTCAGATTATTTTCCCATCTAGCAGTGAGGAACCTCCAGTCTGTGGGCCAAATTAGGCTCATGAAGTCAGGTTTGAAGCAAGTAAATATGCAGCTGGGCCAAGGAGAGTTTGCAGGCACTGCCAACCAGTTGATGGTGGCTTCTGCATAGCCCTGCACAACACTTTGTGAGCACCAACCATCAGCTGATTACTGGAGATTGCTAAGTGCAGCACATGGAGCCATCAAGCAATGACAATCAGCTGACTGCATAGATTATAGCTCCCAGTCTACTCCTTCAGTGGCTCTCCGATGTCTTGGCTGTGGCTCCTTCCTTCTACCTGATCCTTCTAACTGAAGATGCCAGCAATTTAACCTTGGGCTTTCTGCATGCAAAGCATGGGCTCAGCAACTGAGTTATGGCCCTTTCCCTTCAAAAAGTTGTTTGTTCCTAATAGTTACATAGAAAATATATTGACCACAAGGGAGTTACAAATTACAGAACTCAAGGTATCTTGATTGTCATGGATATTGTGCTAACTAGGTCCTGAGGTTAATGACTAGACTTTTAAGGACTTCACAGTGAACACTGCTGTAAATCACACCTAGAGGGTGATTCTTTTGGACTAGCATACAGATGCCGTGCTCTGAAATGCGAGGAAAGAGCTGAGTTTCTACTCTCTGATTTTCATAGCATTTGCCCTCCCTTCTGCATTTCTCAGTCACTAATAATACAGAACTTGTGGTTCAGAGAGTTTAATGCCGAGTGCTGAAATGTAATAAATGCAAACTGTAATTCTAAGTAAATATTTAATGATGTTGGCGGCACTACCTTATGGACAAAGCTGCAAAAATTACCCAGAGGCATGCCTGCATGGGAAGAGGAACTTTGCAGAGGCATTTTTGGTAATTGGATACATTAAGTTCAGACCACAGACCTCCAAATGGCTATAGACCCCATTTGTTGCATGGTTTGATTATTAAGACGGAAAGACCTCCGATGGATGCTGCTCTGTGTCAAACGAAAGGCTTTCATTAAGAAGCATTTTGCTCTTTGGGGAAGCTGGACTTTGCATAAGGCAAGCTTCTTCTGAGCATACCTAATGCCTCCAAAATGGAAAGTCATTGCCAGTATCATAATGCTGTTGTACACATCTATTGTGCAACCACACTTAGAATACTGTGTACAGTTCTTATCTCCGCACTTGAAAGTGGAGATCATAGAGATGGAAAAAGTTCAGATGAGGGCAACCTAAGTGATCAAAGGGGTGGGGCAACTCCTCTATGATGGCTTTTTTAATTTAGAAAAAAAATATAAGCAATGGGGACATGATAGAGGTATATACAATTATGCATGTAGCTCATAATACCAGAACTCATCCACTGAAGCAGATTCCGGTCAAAAGCAGGTACTGTTTAGGGAAGCTTTTAATGTTTAATAGGTTATTGTATTTTAATATTCTGTTGGAAGCCACCCAGAGTGGCTGGGGAAACCCAGCCAGATGGACGGGGTATAAATAATAATAATAATTACTTCTTCACACAGTATGCAAATTAGATTATTGGATTTGCCCCCACAAGATGACCAGAGTGCAATGTTAAATTAGATGA